CACACCTGGGTTTATTAGTCCTATTTTCCTATTGTGACTGTATGAATTTATGGCTTTGTGTTTATTGTATGAGTGAAGCAGCACAGGAACAGTGTAAAATAAATGATGCTCAAACAAAGCACTAAATGTGAACTCCTAGCTCACACAGCATATTAACTGTGATTCAGTTAAACCAGTGGTAGTCAACCTGGTCCCTACCGCCCACTAGTGGGCGTTCCAGCTTTCGTGGTGGGCGGTAGGGGGTTTGCTGTAACTCTGCTTTATAAATTTTATAAAGTAAAGTTACTTCCCTACTTTATAAATCACCATTACGGTAGAACTGGTGGGCGGTTAGAAAATTTTAATACTACCAAAAATACAAAAGTGGGCGGTAGATATAAAAAAAATTGACTACCCGAGTTAAACGGTTTACTCAGATTTTCTAGCTTGCATGGCATAATCTTATTTGAAGCTGTTTCATTAACCATCTTCAATCACATAAAAATAAATTTCATAAAGAAAATAGTGCACTTTAATTAATATATACTTGGATTGCATACTAAAAATGATTCCTATGTGACTGAAAAGGACCAGTGAAGCAGATTCAATTAATAGGCAAACATTTCATTTGCATGGCATGAGACATAATCGAATTCCAGGTTTGCATCACAGGAGAGGATAAAATGTGTTTAGATAATTCTGGTCCAGAACTCAGCTGAAACTAAAATAACAATAATACCGCAAAAATGATTTGCCTGGTTTTGGCTTAACTGTAATCATTCATAGAATTCTTTATTGGCCAAGTGTAATTGGACACATAAGGAATTTGTCTTTGGTGCATATACTTTCAGTGTACATAAAGAAAAGAAAATAGAATACATTCAATAAGAATTGTAAGATACAACACTTAGTGATATATAGGTTACTAATAAGCAATCAAACCATACTAAGAAACAAATATAAATTTGTTTATAAATTGTATAAACAATTTATAACAATATAAATATAAATTGTAAAGATACAAGCAACATGGTTATAGTCATAAGTGTGAAGAGATAGGTACTAGGAAGGATGAGAAGAATAATAGTAATAGTCTTAGTAAATAATTCCACAGTTGTATAATCATATAATCATCATTATCCAATCACATATTTATGTGATTATAAATCATAGTTTGTGATTGTGTAAGGGAAAGAAAGGCTCGGCATGTGCTGACCTTCAGGTGCTACACATTTCAAAGTAGGATGAGGGAAGAGCAATTTTCCTGGCCTTATTTGAACTCTCAACAACTTTCAAAGCCACTGGGCATAGTATCCTTCTGGACCATCTCTGGGGGACTGAAATGGGGGATATTTTCTTACAGATGCTCTCCTCCTCTTTGAAGGTGCAGTTACAGTCAAAGGAGGGACTATCTCCTCTGAAATCCAGCTCTTGCTTGATGAGATGGCAACTCTCACAAGGAGGGCTTTTGCAAAGTTAAGTCTGGTATGCAGCAGTAGCCATTCTTGGATCAGGAAGCCTTGCTCACCATCTCTCACACCCTAATAATCCTCTAATTGGTTTAAAATAACAAGTTCTATATAGAGTTGTGCATAAAGAACATTTGGAAGTACAGATAGTACTCTCAACTTACGACAACTGACCCCATTTAGTAATTCTCATTGCTAAATGAGAATTTGTTAAGGTGAGTTTTGCGCCATTTTAAAACTTTTCTTGCCACATTGGTTAAGTTAATCACTGCAGTTGTTAAATTAGTATCACGGTTGTTATGTGAATCTGGCTTCCACATTGACTTTGCTTGTCAGAAGGTTGTAAAAGGGGATCAAATGACCCCAGGACACTGCAACTGTCATAAAGATGTGACCACGGGGACGCTGAAATAGTCATAAGTGTGAAAAATGGTCATAGTTCACTGTTTTCAGTGCCGTTGTAATTTTGAATGGTCACTAAATTAACTGTTTGTAAGTCGAGGACTACCTGTACTAGCCCAGGCAGTGATGGGAGATACCTGGGATCTTCAAGATTCAAGATATCAAGTTTCACTTCTATGGTCCTACATGTTCTGACCTAGGCTTCCCCAAAAAGCACGAGGCAGAGTTCTGGTCCCGAATAAAAACACTTTTTATTAAATGAATGTGAATTTCTCTCATTCGCATTCAGCAAGGCCTGGCAAACAGTCTTTCAAAGGAATATTTATGACTACAAACCTTATCTAGCTTGGAAAGCTGCCATGTAAATATTTTCCAAATGAGGTGCTGTGCAAGGAAAGGCTGGGCACAGTGAGATTCATGGACAGATCTTCACCCACCTGAAACGAGGGAACAACCGAATGAACAAATTGTTTCCTGCAAAATCCCACTCCCCTTTCGCTCCTCTTTTATTTCCTATGGGAGGGGTCAGTCATCTTCCACCTGTGACTTTATTCCCAAGTCTACCCTGATTTCCGAGCTGCTCTTTTCTTCTGGCAGCTCTGCGCATGCACACACTGGGAACAGGCTCCAGCTGTTCCTCTGCCTCACTGCTGTCTAGCTCCGTAGGCACCTGATCACTGCTAGACAGCCTCAGCCCCATCTCTGCCTCCAATGCAGAGTCCTTGTCCGAGCCTTCCCCAGCATCCAGGACTGGGCCATGCTCCTCTCCAGCCTTCTCACTGTCCGCCTCTGCTGCCAACTCTGCTGGCGGGTCACAACAACAAATAATGATCATGTGACTTCGGGATACTGTAACTGTCTTAAATACATGCCAGTTGCCAAGTGCCCGAATTTTGATCATGTGACCATGCAGCAGTTGTAGGT